ATCATAATAATCTCGTTAACCTATTAAAAAGAAAAGGTAAACAGCTTTACTTTGATGAAACTACTGTGAAAACACATGAAAATACCCTCGTTCACACTAAATGATCCGCTAATCGACATGGTGATCTTTGATCGTCTCTTCAAAATATGAATCTCCCAAACAAGGTGAATGAAGTCATTTAAATTCCGGGTCATGGTCCTAGGTGTGACAGTTTCAGAATCAGCATGTTCAAACTCTGCAAATCCTTGGTCGAATAATCCTACACCTTTCAAGCGGGTTTCACTCGACAATCACGAGTAATTGCAGTTAGTTGTTTATCAAGAGCAAGTTCTATAAAGTCCTTCAGCATGTTGTTAACGGATTCAAATGTTAATCATTGACAAACTAACAAACACCAATGAAATGACGCACCGATTGATTCGAAGCTGACACGAAACATGTACGATTATCGAGTCAAGAAACTCAAAGATACCTGGCAAGAGGCTCGCTAAATCAACCTTAGGGTCGATGTCGAAGAAGCTGAAAGAGAGGTTGCCAAAGATGCAGAGATGAGAGCGATGAAAATCGGTGGGGATGTAGAATTTCTTTGCATACTCGTGGAGTATGCCATTGTACACTTGCTGATTCCAAAATCCATACTGTTCTGCGAGCTTCTGATCCTGGTTCTCAATATCCAGTGAGTTTGAGAAAATTATCATCCGGTTCGACCTGGTCGCGCACCAATTGGCCTCGAGCACGTTCCCCACGTGCCAACGGTTTGCGGAAGGCAGGAAGAACAGGGTCGGCTTGTCGGCGGGCCTCTGGAAGTGCTCGTTGGCAGGCGGGACCCGGAGGCCCGGCATCTCCGGGGGCCTTGCAGTCCGCAGGCAAGAACTTCGGGATCATACGGCTCGATGTCGCCTATCCGGTCGGGAAGTCACGCTTGAGTAGGATCGCGACCGCGAGCTAATCTGCGAGGAGTGGCTCAATTGGCAAAACTTGAAAAGGATTAGGATTCAATTAGCAAAATTAAAAGTTTAAGATTGAATTGGTAAAAAGTGTAATAAGTTTATGAATTTTTGGACAAATTTTCCTATGACGTGGCTTAACCATGAAAAGTTCTACCCAATTTTTTTATTGCTTATTTTTATATTAGAAACTCATAGACAAATGGTTAGCCGATGAAACATGTGGGGGAAAGAAAAACTGAAAGTGCCATCGCCATGTAGGTCCAGGTGAAAAAGTGCAACCCTTTGGGAACAAGGGTTGAACTTCAACAAGAAGGCCCAAAAGATATTTCTTTTTTTTTTCTATTTCACATGAGGACACTAATGGAGGTCTATTCTCAATCATAAAAGTGTGCAACATTGTTTTTCCCCCAACAAAACTATAAAAAAAAAAGAAGATAGTTGGTCGTGCTGAAGCTCAGACAATAGGCTGAAATTCTTTGTTTGATGCACATGAAATTCCAGAAACTTCTATTTATTATACTTTAAATCAAGTATATATATGCATGCATGTTAGGATGTTGGAACTTATTGGATTAATCCCCAACTCTAAAAAGGTTCATAAAATTTGTGATTATGTAGCAGTGAATATTGATACCGATTTCGATTCTCTCTAAATCATGAGAGACAAATCACCAAATCTCACATTAAAATTTTCGCCCTCCCTCATATAAACATACTATTTACATGAAAAGGGAAAACGGGATCGGTTTCTTTTTGCCCGAAAAGAAAATTTGAGTAAAGTTGGGGTTTTTGGGTTTATTAGGAAAATCGTCCAGATTTGAGAGTTTTTATGCATAAGAACCACTAATCACATGAGAAACTCGGGCATATTCGATCACCATAACAAAAATTTTTCTACCGGTATCTTGAGATCGATGATGCTTATCTAGTAGAAAATACTGCGTTAGTGGTGAAGACTTGATGCAATATATAAATCCCTAGCTTTTGGTTTATTCGTTTTGAAAAATAGATTCATGCATGCATAGAGGGGGACTCATTAGACTTTTGGCATGTCATCTGAATGTTCTGGATCATCCATGGGGTTCAGCAGTCAACTTCTTAGAGGAAGCTAAAATGTATTCGGGCATAGGATGAGGGGTCCAGTGACCACAGAACAGTGTGGTTTTGCACTTCTCAAGCAAGCGAAGCGAGACAACTCAGTTGGGAAGGGAGGGGAAGTATGTCATTCACTGAGTCCATGCACGGGTTCGCACTATAAATTCCTCACACTTGACCAATGTTAGTCCTACCTCACTTCAAACCCACCCACAAAATCTCAGTCCTTTTGTCTTGTTCTTCCTTTCTCTGCTTGCACAAGTTTGCCATCCAAATGGAAAACACAATCTCTGAAGTAATGAGATCACTCCCTCCAGGATTCAGATTCCATGCCACTGATGAGGAGCTTCTGAACAAAAAAGATCCGGTCTTTTTTCTCCAACGCGCAAAATAAATATTATGTTGATCACAATATTCGCAACCCAGAATAACACATTCGTTTCTACCTTTTTTTATAAAGACAACATAATCTCGAGCAAGAAAATGAGTCCACACACTACTCAAAATATCTTCTCGCGTTAGAAAATTAACTAGTAATGTAGTCAAATCCATTTGATAGGGGTATCGGGATCCAATAATGGGTGAAGATAGTGCGAGCCTTTATTTTTTTAGTTTTTCTTTTAATTTTTTTCTTTATTAAAAAATCTTGCGTTGGACCTAAGTAAGTCCTTAAATTACTTTATCTCGGGTTTCGTTCGGACCTCGGGATCGCCACGATATAAAGTAAAGAGAAGGTATTCTCATCTCCCAGGGAAGAAAAAGATTTGGGAGAAATTGTGGGCATGGTGTGCGGGCACTAGCGCGTTAAAATAAAGAACATACCCACGAAGCCCGCGCGTCACTGCAATGCAAATGGACAGGCCGCGAAAGCCTTTGTCATATCTTTGGCTCTATTTCTTTGGTGAGGTTACCTCTTAACCGAATACCAATGATTCAATGAGAAAGCCTTGGTAATGTAGTCAAATCGATGTGATAAGGGGACGTAAGGAGCCAATAATGGGTGAAAACAGCGCAATTGGTTATAAATAACATTTGGGACATGCTCTGTAGTTACGGGCTGTTTCTCTGTTACTAATGTTGTTCATGATATATATATATGCAGATGCCACCTTACGTGGCATGTCGGATCAAGAACAAAAAAGAGAAGAAGCTGATAACGGCTCACGCTCCGACAGTCAGCCCCGAAGGCTGTTCAAGCAGCTCTCACGCATACACTAGCAATGTATCAGGGACCCCTGTGTATCAAGAAGGGTACCATTCCAGCTTCTGTGACACCCCCAACAACGAAGTTGCTGATAACCAAGAAGCAGTTGATGCTCAAGCCGAGGTGAGAGACAAGCATTTTATTTTGTAGAACTTACATAGCATGGGGTTGAGTCCCAAGACCAATAGACCATATCAAAGTCACAGAGACTCATTGGTTTTCTATTCCAAAATACTAATGACTGCATAATCACAATAGCAACATCTTTGGGACTATTTTCATTTCATACTTTAGGATTGTTTCTGTAAAGGTACTTAAGATGGGTTGTTTTATATGATCTACATTGTTTTGAATGCAGATGTTAGTGGAAGAGTTAATGGAATCGCTCCCTCCATTGCAGCCTCTGGATGACACTTTATTAGACTACAACGACACTCTAACCTATCAGCCACACGCAGAAGCAGAGGATGGATCATCGTCCTTCTTTGATTTCTCATATAACAACTACGGCGATGAGCTTGACTATGGCTACATGCCATCTCCGTGCAGCAATTTCGCAAACTATTCCAGTTTCGACTGGGCAATGTCTGAGCACTTCCCTACTACAGCGTGCGACAACAGTTGATCATATTTTGCAAGGAGTGTGTGTATGTGTTTTTCTACTTGTGATGTAGTTAGTATTGTTGAGTGTGGCTTCTGGAGTGAAGTGAAACATATGCAGTTTCATTCTTTCTGGGTGTCTCAGTTTGCACCAGTGGCCATTGCTACCCAAAAGATCACATTTTGGTCCGTTTTGAAGGAACTTTTTTTTTTTTAATTTACTGTAACTGATAATTACTAAAAACTGTTATGAGTTCACTTCTCTACGACAACAATGTAACAATTTGTATAAGTATTTTCTTGGATAGAGAGTTTTGAAAGAAAGGAAAACAAGAATCTGAGTTATTTGTGCAGGACTCACCACATAAATTTACTTAAATATGCAGCACATTTTTATTAATATTGTGATGAATGGCAATAATTATGATGAACACAATCACAGGAATTATAGTGAAGGGAGGAGAACATTAAATCTTTTTGAATCGACGAAAAAAATGTCATCTTGATTAATAATGTGCACGAAATTCGTAGCTTTTTTCATATGATTTTCATTTAGCAATAAACATGGAATCCATAGATTAGTCCAATTAAACCACTAACTTAGAGGACAATTCAAGGTTGTGCGTTGGTTCCACCGCGCATTAACATAAAAGTAAAGAAAATTCATAACAAAACGAAAATTCACTGTAAGAATTTGTCTTTGGTTTGCAATAAAAAAAATTACCAATTGGTAATGAGAATTAGCTTAATATTATAGCTTTAAAAGAAGTCGATATCGATCACCATAAATTATGATATTGACAATTTACATTGATAAGATACTTACACGAAAGCAACTCTAAATTCCGAAGTTTGAAAATCCTTATCCATTTTTCATTTATTATGTAGTTATTCATGAATACAATACGGTTGGTAGATGTATGAGATTAAAATTAATATCGTACTAACATGATCATCGAGTTATCAGAGACAATATCAAATATTTTCAAATAGTTCAGAAAATAATTGAATAGATTAATTGGTCAGAGATTACATATTGAACTAAATATTATGAACCAAATTGAACAAATTAAAAATTTAGAAATAGTATTGCACTTGATTCGATGCGCGCGATCAGATACAAAAATTTCAATCTTTATTTTCTTGCATCTTTCCTACCAAAGAGTTAGAGAAGACAACGTTGCCCGTTCAAGATTCACTAACGATCCAATACGAACCCCTGAATCACTCGTCAATCGTGCTCGGCATTTCGTTTTCAAGATCCGGCGCCGGTTGGGTTGGATCTGAATCGAGATACCCAAGTAACGATTGACGAGTCCTTTCATGGGTCGGTGTTCTTCAAGATTCAAATCCATTCTTTCTTTGCCTCGGCCTCGGATTGCAGGTAACGAATTCGAGTTCCATCTTTCTCGTTCTTGGATTTGGGCAGCTTCCCATTTGCGTGGAGTGAGTTCTTCGGATCCCTGCTGTTCTTGGAGGGTTTCTGTGTCGTGTTCTTGGAGCGGTACCCCCGAGGCTGAACTGGGTCTGTCTTACACATTGCTATGAATTCCGAAAATCTAAACCAGACTGCAAATTTTACCTGGAAGAAGATGAAACTTGAGGTGGGGGATAGCCACAAATGATCTGCGGTTCTTATACAGCAAATCCGTTCGATGCAACCGTTGCTGGGTAGCTCTTGATGACTGAAATTTTTTCCTTTTCCAAATGGTTTCGATATGGAGCACGATCCCGGTGTAGGTTGTGATTGTCTCTTACTCTGCCCAGTCCGCCTTCCCTCCCCCTCTTACATATTTGGGAGGCGGTTGACACAATTCTTGTTGCTTAATATCTTTCCTGGAAAATTGACAAGCTCTGAATTCTTTACCATCAGAGATTCATGCTTGCTCCTATCATGAATCTGCAGGTGCATTGCCTTGTCTGTGTTGCATAAAGTAAACATTGAAACGAAAGGGGAAAAAGATTGGATGCGCGATGTATTGATTTACCATGAAGGCCATTCAGGCATTTGTCTGCATTTTGATGCAGTTGAAAATCATATAATTGGAAAAGATGCAACTTCAAGAGTAGGAAGAATCGTGACAGGCGTGAGACTTTATAGTTTTAGCTCGCATTTGATGTTTTTTTGCCCTGAGTGCAGAATTCGTTTGGACTAATGAGGGAATCACTTCCCCAAGTGCTGCAACTGGCCAGCCTTTGTAATTTACCTCGGAAGATGGCTTACTGGGAAATGGTTAGCATGACAATAATGTTGGTAATGAATATATTTCATCACATAGCAACACTTTTCTAAACACCCAAACCGTTGGAAGTTTGAACTGAAGCTGATTGGTTTAAATGGTGCTTATGTGTTGATTTGTAGGAGCGCTCCATCAAGGTCATATATATCTTCATCATGAAACTAAGTGTGCTCCTTTTTTGTTTGGTCGGGAGCACACTTAGTTTCGGGATTAAGATATATATGACCTTGACGTAGTGCTCCTATTATGCAGTTAAATATTCGAAAGAATAAGAACTGAGCATAAATAACTAGCACTTTTGATTACTTCAGTCCTCCTAAAAATTTTACTAGAACTCCTAATAGATAAATACCATCGCCAATGGAAGTTTAACAGGAAGTAATGCAAGAGGGAGCTGAAGACCTTGCTTTTAGCTATGGACCTTGAGGGAATGACTTTTGACTAGTTAGTGTGATGGTAGGGTCGGAAGAAGAAGTAAACTTTTCAAAGAAGTTTTGAAACTTGGAGAACAAGTCTGAAATTTTCGGTGAGAACAGTTTTTTTCTCCTTTCTTTACCATTTTAGTGGCAATTCTTTATGTCTTTACTATAACTTTTTGTTTGTATGCAAATGCTTTTCTGATGGACTTTTCATTTGTTTGTTTTTTTCCTGAGCCATGGACATTTTATTTGTTAATATGAGTCAAAACAAGTGGGAAAAAATTAAGATGTTTCTTTTCCCTCCTTCCCTTTACCACCTCAGTCCTTGTTGATTTTGAGGGGACATAAACAATCATGAAGAATCTCACATCGAGATTGCTTTGGATGATTGACTACATGGTTTGGAAAATTGAAAAATAGAAGTGTCTTTTGTAGATTATTCAGAATTCACCATTTATTAATGGGATACTCCTATGTATTTGTATGGGGTCTTTCTATAGTCCTCCAACCATGACTGATTTTGCTTGGGAAGTTAGTACCTCGATAATCGAAGTTACTAACGCTAGTTATTGCACAAAATGAGGAAATTGCCATGATATTGAGAAGGTTATTATCATGGATTACTGTTTTGTATCATTTTGCACGGCACTATAGACATACCCATTGGTATGACTCAAGAGGAAAAAGCAGCTATCCATTGATATGCACAGTCACAGGACAGAGGTTAAGATGTGGGATCCACCAAACAGTCAAACAACTTCCTAGCCAAGCTCACAGCATCTCTATTATAAATAAGAATGGATAGAACTCCGGTATGAAGCAATCCAAAGCAAGCCAAAGCAAGTCAGTATTGCTCTCTTCAAATTTCCTTCTCTTTCCCTTGTAGTTAGTATTTTTGTTCTTTTTTTTCTTTGAGATGGAAAGTGTAGAAATTTCATTAGTCAATATGCCGGTGGGATTCCGATTCAGACCAACAGATGAGGAACTCGTCAATCAATACTTGAAGTTGAAGAAACTTGGCAACAAAACGGTTGAACAGATAATACCCGAGGTTGATGTCCATCAATTGCCACCTTGGGATTTACCTGGCAAGATAAATGGTAAGACACAATCAAAACTGTCCTGTTCATCCTTAAAAAATGTGATGAGTTTGTGGTTGGTCCATGCTATTCCCTTTTGGGATTCTGTGTCTGTCGGTTTGCATCTGTAGTTTGAAGATTTTTTGCTGCGGAGATATGCAGAATTATCAAGGATAAAGTCAGATGGTGATGAATGGTTCTTCTTCTGCCGTCTGCAAAATAAGTACCCTCAAAGTAAACGGGCGAGAAGGACAAATGATTATGGCTCTTGGAAGCCAACTGGCAAAACTCACAAAATCAGGACACAAGACAAAAAGATTATATTAGGCTTGAAGAAAATTTTGGTTTTCAAAATACGTCAAAGTCCCAAAAATGCCCATACCAAATGGGTACTGCATGAATACTACTTAAATGCTGATGTTACAGACAACGTCCTCAATGACCAGGTACGCAATCTTCTTGCTTTTCCTTCCTCTTGCAGTGAACTTCAGCGCAAACCATATTGAACCATTTAAGGATACATATGTATGATTCAGGTCGGTACATGAATGTTGTCCATTCCAGGAGCTTTCATTTAAGAGGTCTTCTGATTTCATTTTCTTCTTCGACTTAGTTTTCTGGAGTTGAGACTGAGCAGCTCTTAGTTGCTCTGACTTTTGCCTTGTTCCCCTGAAATGAAATAGCTCTTATTAAACTTCTATTGATTTGTTTTCAACTAAGACAATTTTACCAAGTAAAATCTCTGGACTCTTTTTTCCCTCCGCTATAGCTATCAGTAGCCCCATTCACTCTATTTTGAAGCTGAGCAAGGAGTCTTTTTTTTTAAAAGGAGTCTTATGAGTTGCATGTGGAGTGTTACCAAAGTTGTTATTTTGAATGATAGTTGATTCTTTGAGGTCGGTCTTACTTTTCTTTTCGGATTAAATCACGAAGTACTTTCAGAGATCAGTGATTAGACTTGAATAAATTGTTGCCTTGTCTTTTGTCTTTCTATATTAGAGTGACTTCGTTCTTTACCGCTTGAAGAAAAACCCTGATAAGACGGGTAAGAAAAATTCAAAGACTCAGAAGACCAACACAGGTATCTCTATTATGCCTCAAGAAGGCAGCAGAAGTAGCCCTAACACGCTTGATGAAGTCAACAACACAAGTATCTCTATTATGCCTCAAGAAGGCAGCAGAAGTAGCTGTAACACCCCCGATGAAGTCAACAACACAAGTTGCTCCAATGCATTAGCAACTGCCAAAAGCATCGTATCCGAAGAGATTCCGAAGGTCAGAAGAAGCATCAAAATGGTGCCTGTTAAAGATCATTATAGGATGTTTAGCAAACTAATGTTTCTTCTTGTTTTTGTTTCGACAATAGGAATCTTTAAAAGAAAATTTACAGCAACCACCGACGCCAATTCTCTCACCAGAATGCAACTCATCACAATGTGATTTCTCTGCAACTCCACTGCCACCCACAGCAACTGGAGAGCAATTTACTCATGATTCGGTGTATCAGGATTTGGAGTCTTATTTTGCTGAAACTGAAGAAGTCCAAGAGTTATTGGATATGTTAAACTCGTAAGCTGGTTCTAGTATAAACACTCTTCTGAAGAAAGCATTATATAAACTTTTTGTGGCTGGGTAATTTGTGTACATCCACTGGCCTGGAAGCTCACTCTTTTTTTTTTTTGGTCGAAGGAAGCACACTCTTTAAGTGCTGATAGAGTATGCCCATGTTGTGTCGCAGGAAAAGATTTTCCTTGTGGAAAACAATGTACATGGATCAAATGCATTCGTTGATCCATGTACATTATTTGCTTAATGAGTTTTTATTCCAAGCTGCTTAATATGAGTTATCTGTTACGGCAGTAGGTGAAATTTTTAACAAGAAATTCACCAGAAATGTAGAAACAGTTACGTGGATTCGTCCCAGCTAGTTGTTTCGCACTCACACGCTGTTCGTATAAATGAGGTATATTGATTTGGCATTGAATTCATGCCCATTCAATTGACCCTTGTTTCGATGGAATTGGATTCGTCCCTTTTAATTGTTTCGCGCTCTAGCGTTGTTTGCGTGCGATACAAAAATAATAAGATGGAAAAGGAAACCTGAAGTGGCATGACCAACCAATTATGAAATATTATCAGTTGCAAGAACAGTCTTGGATCTGAAGACTGAAAGATAACTTCGTGTGGTCCAAGCACAAGAAGTACAAAATAACCAGAATTAGTAGTTACAATGAATCTCCTGTAAACAAACAACTACAAAAAATGGAAATTCAATTCTGGCGAATCGAACGCTTGCACGCAGACCAAGTTGTCAGTCTCAGCTATCTAGTCAATTTTTTCCTCAAAAAGTTCTCTTCTGAAGCAAGGGAAGGACTGCATATAGACATTGATCAGCCAAAGTCAAGTCGATGCTTTTGCTATAGCACCAAAAAAACACCATCTATAAAGCTCAAATTAGTGTTTCAAGGGTCACTTTGCTTCGGATTCATCTACTGAAGAAACTGAAAATTTAGTTTGAGAATGAAGTTGTCAAGACTTAGGAATGTCCTCCTTCATTCCCGTTCAAATGTTGTATGAACAAATGCGTGACTTTCTGCCTGTAGGATGCAGGCTTCACCCCCACCTACGAGGAACTTGTCAATCATTACTTGACTCTACAAATTCTCAGATTTAAAGATAATCAATGCATTATTCCAGAGACCCCTTTTGTGTGCAGTTTTTATCCCTAGTATCTACCCCTCCTATCCAGAGGTAAAATGTGACATTCTCTTTGAGTTACTCTGTAATTTATGGGTGATAAGAAGTCGGTGTTCTTTGCATGGTCTGTTTTGTAAGACAAACTATGTTTGAAGGTCAAGGTTGGCATTTGTTTCCGGCTTTGAAATGGCTTGTGTACTATTGTCTATTGTGACGGGAAAAAGAAATGATCACGGAAGAGTTCAGCAATATGTCCGTAGAATTTGGTTTCGGCGAGGTCATTGGCGGTGATCACATCCCCAAAATTTTGTTAGATTTTGCCTCAGCTATGTGAGAAGACCTGTTTATGCCTGTGAGAGCTAGACGGGTTTTGTCAACAAGTACCATCGAAGCACTTGTTAAACATACTTAATGAAGACATGTTCCAAAAAAGCATTGATAGTGCATATTACAAAATCAATCATCGCAATCAAAGTTGTAATATTTCTTCATTTGGTCGCTTAGCAAGTATCCCAGGGACACTTTTTAGATAGAGTGCTTTAGGTAAAAGTACATGTTGATGTTTTTATACGATGAACTTTTCGACTAAACTAAAATGGAGCATTACAAATTTCGTAGAGTTCTGGTATTTGCATGCAGTCTTGAGCCAATGCCTATGCTTATTCTTGATCTTTCAAAATCATCATCCGCAGAAAACAAGTTAATACCGCTCTAGGTTGGCAATCCATATAATGACCACTATCGACATTTCGTCCAAATAGAATCTGTTAAAGGTCATCTTACAAGAACACTTTCTGTTGAAACTGACAATCTAATTTGAGAAGAAAACTAACTGGACCGAACCCGTTAACAAATACACCGTTCTTTCCCTGTCGTAACACGAACTGCAGCAAAATTGGCTCTGCCGACGCTCAAGTAGCCACTCGAATCAGCCAGGCAGCATCTTTGGCATCCTCTCCCCTCTGTGTTAGAAACTTCAATCCAAAAACTCGGATTAAGAAATTGGCCTAAACAAAAGGCTTAACTGAGAGAAACCGAACTCGCACAATTGCTTGTCATATCAAATCGAACAAGATTGACAGGAAGAAATAGCGGCGAAAAAGAAACTTGCACAATTGAATGAATACTTACAAGCCAGGAAACTACAAGATCACGTTGCAAAAATCTAGGCATTTTATGCATCCATTTATTAATTAAACCCCCTCGAGTGCAAGAAGTGAAATATATAATATATTACAAATAGTTCGATCATGGGGATTGACAAGCTCTTTCTTTGAACCAAGGTTTATGCATTGATGCAATTCCAGCATCAACACTCCTGTGTCTAGGATTCATCCATGAAAACGGCACCATGTCCAATAGACTTCATGATTTTTTTGAACAAGAGAACCATAATCGCTATGCTAAGTCCAACCGCAGCCCATGTGAACAAGCGATCATCAGCTGGTTTTTGAACCCTCGTTTGAAGCTGTTCACTTCTTGCGGGGCTATGCCTAGACGGCTCTGCCCTCTCCAAGACAGGATTTGGATTAGCAGGGGATTCTTGTGCTTCTTCAATGACCCTATCACCTGCATCGCGTGGAGGCTCTTCGGCGGAAGAATTTCCCTGGTCGCTCTGAGCTTCAGCAGAATGGTCATCGGAAGGTTGAACTTGCGGAACAGGTGGTGCTTTGCTCAGCATATACTCATGAATCTGTTGAGAGAGTAAACTCAATAAGCATTTAGCTCCAAATTATCAAAAAGCACATGCGCAAGGAGGAATTATACCTCGTCAATCACTTGTTGACGCTCAGCGTTACCGAATCGGGGTGCTGCCTCACGAGATTTAATAGCCAAGGTACGTCTTTCTTCCTTCTTATAGTCTAGGGAGCCCAATGCACCATTAGGGTTGGTTGGCATGAACGCAATGAGTGCCACTAAAGCAGTGCGTACTGCCAAAACAAAGAAGAAATTAAGTATGGATTGGACTCTGAAGCTTCCAGTGATGAGCGAACTAAGAATCTAAAAACTGCCGAAGTAGACCTTATGTCAGGTAGAATTGTCTGACGTATTCTACGATTATCTAATCTTAGCACCGCTCAGGTTATGTTAAAAATGACAGGAAGCCAGAAAAACAATTTACGTGAGCTGGTGAAGTCAATAGGGGATGTTGCAAACATTCCTTAAGAGAAAGCCAAACAACGCCATATACCAAGCACCTTCCTTACCCCATAAAAACATAATGAAAAGATGACAATTTCTACTCCATGCAACTGTAGAGTATTATTTAATGAATCTTTAATAGTTTAACAAGTAACCAAATATCCGACAAAAGAAATGATACCCAAGCAATGCCTCCTGGTTTGAGATTCACAATTTTATACTAGCCTTATAACCCATGACAATAAAACTTACCGCTCCATGATGGCTGCCAGTGCTCAGGGTGATGATTGGATATGCTCAGGCATATCTTCGTCTGTGTCTCAAAGCGACCATTGGGCTGTAGCATAACAAAAACACATTTGAGCGTACGCCACAGTAATGCCAAATAAAGGAACGAAACATGAAGTTTCCAGAGGGGTAACATAAAATGAGACAAGATATGGGAAGAAAACATTACCGTCAACAACATGAACGAAGGCGGCTTGAATGGATACTCCGCAGGTAGCTGGATGCGGCCATGGTAGATACCGCCTTCGAATTCACTATCGCGTGGTCCCCTGATAGCAAATTGCCACTCGAAGATGTTCTCCTGCAAGCAGAAGACATCCAGAAGATTAAGTAACCAGCCACCGAGCAATTGCATAGGAGAAAAACCAAAGGCAAGCCAACCACGCGCCGATTATCACTAAAAACGAAGAATTGAGAAGCTCGGGGGTAAGGAGTAAGGAAAATCAACGCTACTTCAAAATCGACATCGAGTCGCAACACCTAAACAGCAATTCAGCGAGAATTCCTGAACTCTCGCATGACAAATCAATCAGGCGGCGAGCAAATTCAACAAATTACGGAGGCCGTTCATCGAATGACAATTCAAAACAGAAATCTTCCGAAGCATAAATGAAATCGAAACAAAAACACCGTATCGATATATCTCGCTCGCCGTATAAAAACCCAAAAAGCAATTCGAATCGGCGCCGGAACAACACGTTTTCGGCCCGATCTTCCTCCCTAACCCTAATTGACCCTCCGCATCGACGATGCGCGAACGCAGCGCGGTGAAATACAGGCATATGCAAGAAAGAGAGGCGGAATCGGGGGGGTAGAAACCTCGAGGGGGAGGCTCGTGAAGTCGTCGGAGGGGTTGGACTGCATCTCCTTGATCTCCTGGAGGATCCGCTTCACCGCCGGGTTCTTCAGGTTGTACTTGTCCTCCGCCATGGTGGCTCCGCCGCCGCCGCCGACGATCCCGATCGGATCCCTCCGCCTACCGACTCCGGTGTCGATGTTGCTGCGGGTGAGGTGGTGATTTGAATTCGGGGAGGAATGAATGAATGATGACGACGATGGTGATCTTTTCGCGTTTCACGTTTGGTTGGTTGGGGTGTGAGCTGGGATGGGAGGAGCTGCAGGAGGGGAGAGAGACGACCCCGTCGTCTTGACTCGACACGTCACGGGGGTGGCGCGCGGGGTGACGTGGCGCGACGTGATTGGACGAACGGGCGTTGCTCTACCCCCCGCGGGGCCATGTTAGTGGGCACGGTTGACTGATATTGGAAAGGGTCGGTTGCCGGCAAAAAAATGGTAAATTGCAAATCGTAATATCACAAAAAATCTCAAATTAATATATTTGTGATATATTTACTTAAAATTAATTTTTTAATCATCAAAAGCTCCAAATTGATACATTCGTGATAAATTTACCCAAAATTAATTTTTTGACAATCAAAAACCTCAAACTGGTACATTTATGACAAATTTACCCTTCATTAATTTCAATTAAATTAGATTAATGCGAAAAGAAAAATCACAAACTGGTACACCTGTGATAAATGGAGGGTAAAATCCAAAAGCTGGTATATCGTCAACTAAATGTGTCATTTGACAAAAGCAATTTAATAGTAAAATTTAACGGAAATTAACGCAAGGTAAAATTGTTATAGATGTCTTAGTTTGGGATATTTGGTAGTCAAAAAAATTGATGCGAGTAAAATTATCATGA